CTTCTCGTTGGACACGCAAACCTCCTCGACAGCCTCATGGTCGAACTCCAAGATGCCGAACGCCAGCAAGAACAATGGTTCAACCAGACCATGGCCAAGGCCTCCAAGACTGAAGAGTCCCGACACATCCAATGGGCCGACAGCATCGCTGAGGAGGAAGAGGACGACGACTCGGAATCAGACTCCGAGTCCGAGAACGAGGACGACTTCGACATGATCGCACTCCCTCGCCGCATCGCTCAATCACCGGTTCAGATCAGCACAATGGAGGTGGACGAGGATGAGGACGACGAGGAGGAGTTCTACGACGACATGGAGGACGACTCAGAACTGGCTCTTACCCGGGTACCATCGCAATTACAATCACCACCCGAGCTCACCTACGAGGAAGAGTCCGACGACGAGTCTCCACCCACATCGCCCCCGCAAGCGTCCTTCAACTTCACCGAGAAAGAAGCCATGCTCACAACAACCTTCTACGACGCCAAACCACAATCGCAAAACATCGAAGACCACCCGCTATTCATGGATACCACCGCTCCGCTCATCTCAAGTTATTAGGCCAGCACACCACCATGTTCCGACCTTTTGATTTTTGATCCAGCGTTTTCAGCGAGCGAGTCCTTTACAGCATAGCGTAGCATTTTCGAGCATTATATCCTCTGTTTTCTTTTGTTGGCATATACCGCAGGGCGGTCGGGATCTTCACGGAGCATCTCACGAACAACTCTACTCAGAAATTATTGGATGGATACGGGATAGGAGGATTTGGGATATTGGTCTCGAGCGGTTCGACGTCTCCCGAAGGCAGTGGTCGAGACTCCCGCCATAGCTAGAAATTTCAATGATGATCATTACACCCACAAAAACAATCTCCACGCTTTTCTCAGGTGATGCGCTGCTATCGCTGCAGGCTGCATGCTAATCGACCCTTAGCAGGTCACAGGTACACTCCCCATGCATGACTGATGAACTGTCAACAGCACACGACACAGTAACAAACCCCACGCATTACAGTTTCCTGTCAACATGCCCAGTCACACATTTGGTGCTGGGAAATTCCTAGGGTTGACCGACTTTTGGCCAGTGCGTCAGACCCTGGCCCCTCGCATGCATCCCGCATAGGGCGGGCACTTCGCATCGCGGACGCGGCTGCTTTTCGCCGAGCGCGCCTTGCATGGCTGAGCGATCTGTCGTCGCAACGCTTGCCTGGTGAAAGTGCACTTCCGGTCAATCACCTTCGTGTCCCCGCATACACAGAGCAGGCGTTGCGAGCTTGATTGCGTACACCGATCGCACCGCCCCACGCACCGCCGAGTGACCATCTGCGTCTGCCTGGGAAGATCTGGTGTGTATGCAAGGCATGCAGCCGCAAGCAGCCGGGTCAACTCGGCGTTTGGTTCTGCCCACGTCCGAAAAGTGTGCGCAGGCAGACAGGCTGCTCGGGGTTTGAATGTATCCGATCGGACACAACAGGAGCTCGCGTACGACGGTCACGTTTGGTTCCGCTCGGGCGAAACGCGGACACATGAGCCAGACTCGAGCGGATTAGCTGGAAGTAGACTATCCGTCGCATGCAGACATGCATCCTCTATTCGCACTCGCATCTTGATGCACTTGACAGCTGTAGGATGAGCGGTCTATGGCAATCTGTTGCGAAACCCACTCGTCGAGGGCTTCTGGACCGCGAAAGCTTTGATCTGAGCAAGGTCTCCCGTCTCCACACTGTCAGAAGTTGAAGACGGAAGTTACAGCGTCGATCTCTCCTTTTCCCCACGCTCCACTGCTGTCGCGGCGATACCGGCACTGACCCTCCACGATGCTCGTCTCGAAACGCTACCATGGCGCGAGAGATGATCAAATCTCATATCAGACTCGGTACCAAACATCGAGTCAAAACATGTCCATGCCCGCAATCTCGAGGTTTCAACATCTCGTTTCGACATGGCGGTGGACGAAACGATTCATACAGCTAATCTTCTCATAGCCATCGTCGATTTTGCTTTTACTAAAGACGGACTGCCTCAGTCACACCCGCTAGCTGATGCTGCGCTGTGGTTCGCGAGGCCTAGTGAAACAGGTACGAATCTAGCTTGCGCGTAGCCCGCTCTACGCAATCCGCTTGAATGAAGCGAAACCCTGTTTCCAAGTTACGGAGGTTTCTTGCGATAACGTGTCATCTCGAACATTGCTGAGCTGGCATGCCAACTCAACTCCTTGGATGTTTCTGGGCCGCGTCGTGCCTAGCAACGCCTCACGTCCCAAACATGCTGCCCTGTTCCTGAGCGTTCTCCCATCCAGGGAAGTTGGGGCTCAAACAGGGAAATGGGGCGCGCCTTAGGCAGCCACGATCTGACGATCTGATCATCCACGCCAACATCGTCCGCGGTTACGGCGTGGTGGCTGCGCAACCAAGTAACACAATATTGTCACTGAAACCTACCTTGGTAGCTATCATCAACAGTGTCGCTGATGTCATGCGCACGACCTGGACCCCATACAACTTGGACCCTATGCTGTGTGCATCTCACTCAGCACGATATGCTGGTCATCGTTTGACAATGGTGACAGAACGGTGAGTGAGTGAGGCTTTAGATGATCGTCAATAGTTCACCAATAAGAGTGAACCATGCTGCGATGTTGATCATCCGGGGCGGAGCGGACGTATGTAGAAAGCCGGCGATAAGATAAGATAGATTGAGCCACATCATCAGCCACGTGCAGCATCTAACGAGCGGTCATGGCCTCCGTATTTCCCCTTCTCTCGCAGGTTTGCGATAACCGTTGCTTTTCTTCCGAGGTTGCTTGCATCATCACTCCCTGATCGAGTTCTGGACTCATCCGCTTCGATAAGCTGGTTCATATGATGACGCTATCAACGGTCAGGGCGGAACCAGGGTCTATGACATAGTCATGTCGAGCCGGACTCCTCGGACGCGCTCTCCTCGCGCGCCGGGGAGCGGAATCTTATCTTTCCATCTCGACGGATCGACGGCCATACCGGATACGGTGCGCATCATGCCGATCAGTCTCGTCACGACAGCAACGGCTTCCGCGATTTGCCAAGCACTCCGTCGTACTTCGTATCTTTGTCCCAGATTGCAAACGCAAACCTCTCTCACACAGTTTCGAGATTTCGAAACAGAGTCTTCAACGGCCAAGTTGCCCGTCGGCTAACGCTTCCCTTCTCAGCGCACGCAACGTATCCAGAAGCGGACGTACGTCCGGATCCGCTCGAGAACCTCGCGCCGACCCGCACCGAGGCAGCACATGTTGTGCAGGAAGCTTCTAGCAGCTAGCACGGAACAAAAGAGCCCTGGAGTCGTTTGGGCAAACCCAACGGCCACAGGAAGAAAATTTGACGGAAAGAAAAGCCATGGCAGATGGTGACTACTATCCAGGTACATCCCAGCTCCCGAGGTCAACGCGTTCCCCTCATACCAGCACGTGTTCTGTGAGTTTGCCCATGGAGAATTTTCTGCCTAGTATGCCCGGTACACCAGCACCAGTGGACAAGGAAATTCTTACACAAATCTACGAAGATCCACGAGGGAAAAACTTTTCTTCGTGTGTGCGAGTACCGAAATCTGCACTTAGCGTATTGTGTAGGTGTCACGCCATGGTCGGGGCTAGCACCTCGGGAGGCTGGTACCTGGATGTTAGCCTCGTCCGAGCCTCGGGTGGGGTACACCGTATCATCGTGACATTTCTGCGTTGGTGTTGAGGCGCGCGCATGCCGTGGTGTGGGTCGGTCTGCGGTAGCACGTGCCGTGGCAATGCAAAGGTAAGTAGGTAGTACGCGCACAATACGCTTGGGGAAATTTGGATACGCAGCCTGGTTTCCCGTTGCTGCTGTAAAGCGGCGAGGGATTCAGGGTCTTGCAGAAGTTTCTTCTAGCAGCTTATTCATACTTTCGTATTCTTCTCGAATGGTCGGTAGTATGGTGTGGTACGCTTCGGCTTTACCGACATGAAGCCACTGTGGCGCCTTGATCAGGATAAGGCGTTGTTGAGGTCAAGCTCAGCTGGTCTTCACGGCAAACACCGTTTTCAGGGGACTATTTCGAGCTGAAGAGTGAAGATTAGCATTGCCTGCTTGGAGAATAGTCTTCCAATCTGCTTTTGAGCCCATTTCTAGCGGAATCGAATGTTTCAGGTACGCGCAGGTTCCGGGAACGTATTTGATATGGTGCAAGTTATGAACCAACGCTGCCAATTTGATCACTATATCTTGTTTATCTGGCATAAAGTTGAAGACTGTGTTTCTTAACGAATACCTCTCTTTCTGACACATGCTGCGTTAACCGGTCTGCTAATAGATCATGCGTATACTGTACGATGCCTATATATATCTGCTCTTATAAAGGCTAGCAGTGGCTCATAAACAGTCTGATTCAGGTTATCTATAAATCGGTATACAGTGAAGACGAAGTCTTGGGCAAGACCGACATTGTCATTTGTACAGCGTGCCTTCTCACCACACCTGTGCACCTACCGGATAGAATAACGATGGTAGGATTTGATGCTAGTGTACAATGATTTCGTGACAGCACACATATTCGAAATTGTATTCTCGAGATATTGGTCAGCTGATGGGCTTCTACCTTTATTATGTAATGCTACAGCGGCGTACATTGGGCAGAGAAGAATGGCATTGGCCTAGAACACTCGCACATCAAGACATACGTAGGCCATGACGTTTTAAAACAAGCATATCGCAATCAAGAAGCTACAGATATGCCATGACTCCAGTGGCTGGAACAGTATTTTATTGCAACTGATAAGAAACTGGCTACGACACGAAGAAATAGTACAGTGATATCTCCGGCTCCAGCTTGTCAGAGGAAAAGAAGGTAACAAGCTTGCCCTTATATTCCATTTCGAGTGCGTGGAATAACAACCTGGGTGAGCTATTTAGATCTGGGATGCTAAACCCAAGACACTAAGATCAATTACAAGTCTTCTTCCGTCGAAGTAAATCCAAGCAATGCATTAATCAATCACGCATACTTATCCCATGGTGCCGGTTCCCGTTGGTTCATGAACCTCTGGAATTCGTAGTCTATCCTGGCCTGAGTCATCCCCGGTGGTTCAGGGCGATCGTCGTATAAATCGCTCTCAGACATATCGTCCCATGTACGAAGGCATCTTTCGCATCCGCATTCGCTGCCGTTGCTGTAGTTTCTGCAATACAGGTCGTCGCTTTCATGACTCCATTCTTCTTCGCTGCCGGTGTGTTCTTCGTCTTCTTCTTCGTCGTCTTCTTCATCTTCTTCAGAGTCTGATTCTTCAGTGGCGTCGCTTCCCGAGTCATGTTCATCGGTGTCCTCTTGTATACAGGACATCATTAGCCTTCCCGGTTTCATCAGCCTTCCCACCTGGCCCATGAGGAATGTAGTATTCCATTCCATCCTCGCATACCCATTACCCAAGAACCATATTTTCAGATCGCTCCCAGTGTACCTTAGGCTCACGATCACGGGGTCTAAGCTTGCATATTCTGGTCTCTCAAAGGGATAACTCGTAGCTATACCAGGTGAGGCGCTTTGCTTCATCCAGAATTGATCCACCACCATTTGCTGCTTTGTGGTCTTCACACCCGGTGCTTTTTTCTGGAATACGAGCATTCGTTCATCCTCGGGATTAATCCAGCAGTGGTCCGGGCCAATGTATTGCTCCCAATACTCGCGGCAGGCTACGTGCCATTTCGTGTTGCCAAGGCTCCCAATGGGTATCTGCTCGCCGGCCTCCAGACGTGGGGTGACCTGCTCCAGCCATTTGTCTACCTCCGCTTCGAGTTGTATGTCTTCTTCCAGGATCTTTGTCTTGAACGCATCGTGTGCTCTGTCGTCGTGGGGAGATGTACAGAGCTGTAAATATTGTTGATCGCGCACCCTGCCACTCGTATGTCTTGATAGATCCTTGATGGGGAGGTTGAAATCTTTGAAATGCAAAGTATTGGTACGCTTGTCAGTGGCTGCTGTTGTGCCATGTTGGTCGTCGTGTGGCCGCTTCCTCTTTAGGCGCCCAGGGTCGTTCGCAGGCTTGCAGGAGGACGTTAAGTGAGGCTCTGTCATATCTGGAGAGCGGACGGAAGAGATGGTAGTTTGAGTGAATGAGTGTTTGATGATGGTCTGCGAGCCATAGATAGCTTGTCTTGAAGCTTGGACGACGTTCCTGACCGCTAATTAGTCAGTACAGAATAGCCGATAACAGTAACCCTCGGAGCGACAACACAGACAACCAACACAACACATTTGATAGTTTGCCTATCGCGCCGACAACATCAAATGGGCTTCAGTATGGGTGCTCATGCCAAACAGAGTGTGTACAACGGATTACTAGCACACAACAACGTCGCTATCACCTTGCACATAAAGGCACACAGTCACAACGCACAACTAAATATTGGAGGCGTATTCTAACAACGAATTGGAAAATATCTACGTGCACACTAGTACTGGAAATGTGTAGCAATACAGCCCATCCTACCACTCAACTCGATCTTTTTTGAAGTATTGCTTAACAAGCAAGAGTCTACAAGGAACTCTCACCCTCCTTCAGCGAGGTAGATTCATCAACCTTCTTCTCTTCAGTGGAAACACCGACGGGCTTGTCCTGAGATTGCTTTTGTTCTAAAGGTGCACCCTTCACATCAGCGTCGTTGTCTAGGTCCGGACCAGAACCAGGGAAGGCACCAGGCGCATCGGTAGAGCCGGGTGCAGTCTTGGAGACCAAGGGTTCTTCTGGCGAGAGGGCGGCTGATACCTTGGAAGCGACGGATCCAAACGCTTCCGACACTTGAGAAGTGGCCTGCTCGAGAGTCGATGGGACTTTGTCCTTACCCGCTTCGGTCGCGGAAGCAGGTTCACTCCCCTCCTTTGACGTAGTCGGTGCAAGCTCGGGCTCTTTTGGCTCTGCTGCAACATTCCGATCCGCTTCACCCTCAGTGAGAGTAGGTTCGGCTGGCTTGATCGAAGCACTGAGTGACTGCTGAATCTGGGCTGCCATCTTCGCAGCAGGCACCTCGAGATTACCATCCTGTCCAAAACTCCAGACATGTGTCACAGGACCGAAGCTCAACGACTGCCTTGGTACAGCAACTTCAGCAGTAACAGTAGCGGCAGCAGCGGGTGACGGAGATGCAGCAGGCTTCCTCCGTTGCGGACCCTTGGCCCTACCCTTGCGAGCATCTGGAAGTGGTGCTGTTTCTCTTTGCGCCTCTTCTTCTTCCTCGGGTTCACGGACCTTAGGCGGTGGATGAGGGCCAACTCCAAGTTTGCTGTTGAGGTCTTTCAGGAAACCAGCCTGGAGGGCCGCAATCTTCGAGCCAGCAGGTCGGGCGGGAACGGGCGGTTTCGCCTTCGTCTGGGGAGAGTCGTTCTCGCCAGTCTGCGAGTCGACAGTTGGAACCTTCTCCGCAGAGCCAGTAGATGGCTTGCTTGGGCGTGCAGGTATCTGTGGCTTCGGTCGGTCTGGGATAATGGGTGCTTTCTTGTCATCGGCAGATGGTTCCCTCTTGGCTGGTCGTGCTGGAATACTGGGGCGAGCCGGCACCGGGGGCTTTTGGTCGATTGGGGAGTCGTCGGCATACTCATTCGTATCCTCCATCTGAGGTGTGCTAACAGTAGTCTCGTATAATCCGTGGGATGGCGCATCCTCCCAAATATCTTGACTTGGGAAGCGTTGCTGCATTCCAGGGCGGCCCATGGTCTCGTCACGTACTTTTCCGAGGATCTTGTTGTCTGCGGCGAACTGTCTAGTGTGGTCGGGGAGGAAAGACTTCTGGTCTTCCTTGTTGATCTGAGTCTTACGCTGCTCCTCGGTGTTCGGGTCTTCAAAGACCTTCGCAGGACTCACGCTATCGTTACCACCAGCAGTCTTTGGCTCTTCTGGCTCTTGAGGAGTATCCACAGTAGTTTCGAGCTGTAAGCTGCCAGGGGTATCCTCCCAGACATCTTGACTAGGGAAGTGGTGTCGGGCGACACTGGGACGCTTGAGCTTGTCGACCTGAGATTTGGGCTTCTTGGTGTCCTCCTCATCCTCCGGAAACAGGGGCTCATACTCCTTGTGCGACTCTAGTGGAGTACTGCCACGATCGTATTGTGCTGGGCTGGGAATAACACGTTGCTGCTGCGTGCTGTTGTTACGACTCGAGCTCCTGCTGTGCGTGCGCGGCTTTGTGACATATTGCGGATTGCCATCTTCATTGAGCGTGTATTCGTTGCCATGGCGCTCCATTTCAGGCGATACAGCAGGCTGTCTCCATTCGGCGTCTGGGTGTTTCTTCAGCTCATCGGAAGCTAGAATGGGCGTGCCATATCCGCGCTCAGTAACCCATCCACCTTTCTCAGCTGTGTTTCCGCCCTCCGGGCCAAGGTCTTCGGTTGGTGGGTCGTAGCCTCCGCCGTGAACCTTGCTGGAGCGATGCGCAGGAGGGTCGATGTGGATGACCTCGCCTTTGTCATTGACCTCTTGGCCAGCTTCGTTACGTAGGGGTGAGTCGACGTAGCCGCCCTTGATCGAAGCAGGGCGACCCGATGATTGTGGTCGAGGAGAGGCCATGCGCGAAGCATATTCCTCTGTGGCCCTGTAGCCAATCTGTTCGTCAGGTGTACTGACTGCATCCCGACTCGTGCCTGTAAAGCATGATCAGCAACAGCTGATGAATAATGACGCTGCAATCAACTTACCCATTCCAACATCCTGAGCCCTAGTGTGTACCAGCTTGTCGAGGTTATCGGCACGCCAGTGGTAATCCTTCCTGTTCTCCTGGATGTGAGGCCCGTACTCGCCGGCCTTCTCGCGCTTCAGATCGTCCGGGTGCTTTTCGTACCACTTTTGCTCAAAGTCGTCTGTTGAGATCTTGCCGTGGCCGTGCATGCCGTAGCTGCCAGGAGGGCCATGGAAGATTTCACGGCCACTCTTGGTGCGCCCGTGATGGCGACCACCGGCCTTCTGGTGGAAACCTATTCCTTGAGCTCCGGGCTGTTGCGCATAGGGCGAAGGGCTGGGTGCTTGAACGTCTCCAGCATTTCGGAACATGGGTACTTGAACACCAATTTCAGGAATGCCATGTTCGTCCTTGTCATTGTAGAGCGAGCTGGGGCGCGATCCAGCGGAAGATCCTGAACGTCCAGTCTTGGCCTGAGAGACCCTATCGTCGACGGACAGCTGCGAGCCGACGCCAGCAGCGAGCGCTGTCTGTGAATCGGTCCGCGTCACCGCCTGGATCCTACTTTTGGCAGTCGAGCTTGGGACCGAGGCTGTAGGAGCATGCAGAGGCAAGTCTCCTGCCACGTTCTTCATATGTTGTGGAGAGCCGCCCTGGTTCTCCGGTGTGAGAGTCTTTGACAGATCCTCGAAGCTGGCGTATTCATTGCCTTCTTCTCCGAGGGAGGGCATGGACACGCTCGGTGGGCGGGAGGGCAGATCGGTGCTAAGGCGACCGCCCTCTCTAGGCGGTCCACCATGTACGTAGGTCGGGTCGTTGAGCGGGGAGCGGGCGTATCTGTCTCCCGCGGGAGAGACGGAGCGTTCGACACCGCGCTTCGGGCGTGGAGGAATCTTGGGGACATCCATATGGGTACCCTGCGCAGGAGAAGAGCTGTTCTGGGCCCGCGCTGGGCGTGGAGGTATTGTTGGTGGAGCACTCATTGCTTCTGTGTCGGTTGCTCGGCGGGGATGTGGGGTGTAGGTGTGGTAGAAACTACAAGTCGTTCAATGTCAGTGACAGGTCCCGGCCATTGAATGATGGAGATGTGCAGCGCGAGCGAGCTGAGAAAAGTGCTCAGGTCTGGCTCGGGCAGTTTCCTGCACGTCAGGCCAATAAGCGCGGCTGCGACTTGAGAGCCCAATGATGCTGTACAAAGCGGATGTGCTGTACTGACCTCGGAATCCGCAATTGAAGTGGAGACTAGAAGTGAGGCTGGCAAGAGGGGCAGATAGCTTGGTCGGATACAGCCAAAATGGCGCAAATGAATCGGTCCTGGAGCTGGGACGGGGCACTTATGTAGCAGAGAGCTCCAGGGCCTGCGACCCGCATTATGGCGTATGGGCCTGCACGCGGCCATCATCGTCACCCCCACAACCTGCATAGGTACCTACCACACGTTGTTTGACTGCTTTCTTCCATGGTCCAGTAGTCGTTGCCACACATGCAATTGTTGTAGTGGAGATGTTTGACACGTCCACGTCCACTTCGCTGTTGACAGATGCATTGAATCCATGTCCCACATGCTCGCTGACGCTATCCTAGATTGGGGACTATGCGACCGCATCAACGTGTTTCGCAGCCTGGGACTTCCAACATTGATCAAGAGTCGCACAAGTCAAATTGCAAAGCTCAGCACATCACATGTGCATTGTTTGACTTACATCCATCAGCTGCGCTTGGTGTGGCAGGGTGGCAGGATCTTCAACGCCTCGCAAGCTCCGGCACGCTAGCGTTCCCCGCGCCTAACAAGTGTGGTTCCTGGCGAGATTCTGGCAGCCAGTTATCGTCATCCTAAAAGCGAGCAGATGCCAGGCCAAGTTTGGCGTTTCCGCTGTCGTGGTCTGACACTGCTTGTGCTTGTCACGGCTTTTCTAGCAGCGATAGAATCGCATTCGAATGGTTGCTGAGCAGACAAGTGCTGCACCCTACAGAATGTACGCTTGAGAGAATGACACCCATAGCTTCTAGAACATCGTCATAGGGACTCATGTGGGTCCTGCGCTCGTCTCTATCAATCAATTTCTGTGTAGAATTACGTAGATGCCCCCACACAGCAAGATGACATCGTACACGACAAATGCACAATTGTCACGGGAACGCGATGAGTACGGAGAAAGCATGTCGCATTGAACCGCCTAGCAGTTTGGCCAAGCGCTTCCATATCCAAGAGGCTCTCTTACAAAACACGGCCCCAGAACGCCCAGCTGCTGAATGATGCTACAAAGAAGTCAAATCATCTCCTCTAATCGCTTTCCAATCGGCTAAGCTCATCATCTCCGTCCTTGTGATATCAACCGGCTCCTCCGTCGGCCCTTCTTTCTATACGCGTGTCGTTCGTTCGGAATCGTCGCACATGGCTGTTGCTCGTTGCCTAGTTCTGCCTCCACTTTATATGATCATCTGTGCGACTCCCTGTCCACCGAGCGTCTTGCTGCCCTGGAATTGCTGGCCCTTGAAACCGGCAAGCGCATAGAAGACGGCTGCGAGCAGAAGGAAGACGGCCGCGACGATCAGACTTGTAGCCCGGGCAGCGATGCTGGCCCATTGTATGGCGCTCATCGCCGCGTAGATGGCCGCGCGCATGTAGTTGGAGCTGAATTTGCGAATAAAGGTATCGAACTTGGGTGAAGTCGGGCAGATGCGGAGGAGCAGCGGTATTTCGATGAAGATAATGATGAAGGAGCACACTCTGCGAACTGATTAGCCATATTCCCAGCGAAGATATGGGCGCGGAGAACGTACAAGCACACGATACTAAACGCGATGACCCAGTTGGCGTTGAAGATGTTGGCGATGCCCAGCGCAAAGCAGAGGACTATACACAGTACTCCGGTCCTGCCGAAGAGTTAGTATGACATGCTGCGAGCCGTGGGCATATGCATAGCAGCTGGCGTGACTGACCATTGTCCGTAGATACCTGCAAAGATGCCAAGTCAGCAACAAGTTACAGGTCCAGCAGCGGGTGTCTTACTGAAATTCCTCGACTTGAATTCTTCTGCGAGCGTCATCTTCGCGGTGTGATTGACTGCGGTATGCTTCTAGCTTTTCGAGGTTACGCGCAAAGTGGTGGTTTGGCGATGTGTAGATTGCGGTTCCGGTAGCTTTGTTGCTGGCGCGGGCTGAGTGAAGCTCTGGCACAAAGTATCAGGCGAGGTTTGATATCCTTTGTTGGAATGCCGTGCGCCGCGTTGGTGTACGTTGCGCTGCGTAATGTGATTGTGGCTGTGCAGTGAATCGGATTGGGTCGAGTGAATGTTGGTCGGTGCCTGGCGTTGCGATGGCAATGGCTGCGTTGCGTGCTTCTTGGTAGCTCAGCCCTCGGTCGGATCGCGGCTTCCACGTCTACGTAAACTACGCGCTAGTGCTTGCCGAAACCGTCTTGGGCCGGCACTCTGCGCCTGAGAACTCGGACCTGCACCTTCAGTTTCAGAACATTGTGTATGGCCGCGACTGCCTCACCTTGGAATGACTGGAATTTGGAAAGCGAAGGAATCATGGACGCCTCTCGTGCTTGCGTCTGCCGCGCTCGGGCTGGCGCTTTACTACCTACATGCCCAGCAAACAGCCACTTTGACAACTGCGGACCCTGCGCAGGTGAATACAGAACCGTGCCAAGACGACGAAGCGATTCACGTACCAGACGCCATGGATCCGAAGGAGAGAGCGTATCATGAAGGCTTCATGCGCGAGGCTATTGCCATGGTGAGCCACGTCCTTCACTTTGTACATATTCAGCTATCTGCTGAGTTTACTCCATGTTTGATCCCTCTGCTGACTCATCATCACTGCAGGCTGAACTTGCACTCAAGAGCGATGAGACCCCCGTCGGCTGTGTCTTCGTCAAGGACGGCGAGGTCATTGGACGAGGCATGAACGAGACAAATCGGACCCTGAACGGTACCCGCCACGCCGAGTTCGTCGCCATCGCTGGCATCTTGTCAAAGCACCCCATCAGCATCCTCAACGAGACAGACCTCTATGTCACCGTTGAGCCATGCGTCATGTGCGCGTCCATGCTGCGCCAGTACGGCATTCGAGCCGTCTACTTCGGATGCTGGAACGAGCGTTTTGGCGGCACCGGAGGTGTTCTGAACATTCACTCTGAGTACGCATCCTTCTTTTCGCACAGATACATGCATTGCAAGTACTGACTTCAACAGTGCTAGCGTCGACAAGCCCTATCCAGTCACCGGCGGCATCTTCCGAGAGGAAGCAATCATGTTGCTCCGGAAATTCTACGTCCAAGAGAACGAAAAGGCCCCCGAGCCCAAACAGAAGAAGACGAGGGAGCTGAAGACAGAGATCCTGCCCATGGACGTTCATCAGCCCAAGTCGACCCCATCACCTGCTATTCGTGCTCCGGCTAATGCGACCTCGACCGGATCCATCCCGACACTGTCTTCTTTGAGCGCATCCGCCGCCGCTGCAGCTGTCGCGGTCCCCAAGACTGTGTTTCCCACGCCCGGCCAGGCTCGACCCAGCTCTGCCAGCACAGCTCTTGCTTGAAGCACTTACGATAATGCATACTTATACCCAACCATAGACGCTAGGATGAAGGAGTGAAACCGAATGTATAATACCTTATGACTTTTTACCTCAATAAAAACTTGTTGTTCACCGAGACACGTAACTGATTTGAGATGGCTGAGAGTACAATACCTGCATCGTGATTTTGAAAGGAAGCAGAAACGGCAATAGATGGTCGGTACTGAGTTTGGTATTGAAACGGGATCGGGGAGGCTTTTATCCACCTGTATCTTATTTCTCTCCTCCACCACCTGCAACCAACTGCACTACCATGAAGAGAGCAATGGCCCACCAGTATCTGTATAATAATCAGCAAAACCTCTAATAATGAACCTTGTCCCCCTACGTACTTTTGCAAGAAGGTCTTCTCCGGCTCTTTTCCGTCGAGCTTCCCCTCCGCATTGAGCACGATGGGCTTGTTCAAGACCGGCTTTGGCCCAACATTCCTCTTCCTTATCTCCACCTCCACTTCATCTTCGCTGCCTTTTGCGCTTGTTCCGAATCCAATATGGAAAGGCTCCCCCTTCTCATCAACGTGAATGATGAACTTCTTGTGGTATTGGTCGGAGAAACTGGCCGCTGACGTGACAATGCCTCGCCATGAGCCAGATTTAGGGTCGGTGAGGCCAACGCGAAGAAGGTGATCAGAGGCGTAGGAGCCTGTGGGTGGTGTGAAGGAGGCTAAAGTGCCAACGGGTTGGTCTGCGTCGTATTCGATCTGCGCAAGCGGAATCGGCGAGGGGATGACGGCGCTGTCCCCCGAGGCTGGAACGGGGGAGACGTAAAGCGTGACCGACGATGCGACCGCAAATGGCAGCAGTAGAAGTCTTGACAGTAGCATCTTGGCGCGATGGTGCGGTCTGTTGCTATCTGTACCAATGCAATGGTGTTGGTAACGGGAGCTGGCTAGCCGCCCGAGAGCAACGGCGAATTGTATCACCGATGGACATTCACTCAAGCGAGCCGTGCTTCCACAACCCCTCCTCCTCAAACCATATCTCCTGAGACTTACATACGGTAAAATAATCCTGCACCTCCGCTTGATCCGGAATCGCACCGATAGCCATGATCAGCCGTGATCCAAGACCTCAACTTGCTTTGCGTGGCGTTGCTTGACCAGCCAACACTGGCCCAACAGCATCCGGTATGCCTGAAAAGGTGGATCCGGTGCTCACGATGCCCACATTTCTCAGTCTGATCTGTGAGCAGATCGACGCTCAGGCTCGAGACGACCCTGACGACTGGTAGCCCGATTGCACAAAGGCTGGGGTTGCTGCCCCACCCCCACCATACTAGAGCTCCCCAGAGCTCTTATGAGCTCATCCCGCATTGACAGCTGTATTGTAGCTCAACATTATTTCTCGCGTCCTCGGGCTTTCAATTAGCTTTTCTTCAATTCAAAATACCACACCTC